TCTCACTCCTCTAGTTCTTTTACTCATGACATTAGGGTGTTTGTTTTATATCTTTCCACATTTCTCTTGAAGGCATTTAGTGCTATAAATTTCCCTTTAAACACGGCTTTAAATGTGTCCGAGAGATTCTAGTTCATTATGTCTTCATTCTCATTGGTTTTGAAGAACATCCTTATTTCTGCCTTCATTTCATTATTTGTCTAGTCAACATTCAAGAGCCAGTTGTTCAGTTTCCATGTAATTGTGTGGTTTTGTGTGAGTTTCTTAATCTCGAGTTCTAATTTGACTGCACTGTGTTCTGAGAGACTGTCTGTTATGATTTCTGTTCTTTTGCATTTGTTGAGGAGTGTTTTACTTCCAGTTATGTGCTCAATTTTAGAATAAGTGTAATATGGTGCTGAGAAGAAAGTATATTCTGTGGCTTTGATGTGGAAAGTTCTGTAAATGTCTATTAGGTCCACTTGGTCCAGATCTGAGTTCAAGTACTGGATATCCTTGTTAATTTTCTGTCTTGTTGTTCTGTCTAATATTGACAGTGAGGTGTGAAAGTCTCTCACTATTATTGTATGGGAGTCTAAGTCACTTTTTGGTTATTAAGAACTTGCTTTATGCATCTGGGTGCTCCTGTATTGATTGCACATATTTTTAGGACAGTTAGCTCTTCTTGCTGCCTTGATCCCTTTACCATTATGTAATGCTCTTCTTTGTCTCTCTTGACCTTTGTTGGTTTAAAATCTGTTTTATCAGAGACTAGGTTTGTGCTTCCTGCTTTTTTTTTTTTTTTTTTTTTTTTGCTTTCCATTTTCTTGGTAAATTTTCCAAGATGGTAAATCTTTCATCCTTTTATTTTCAGCCTATGTGTGTCTTTGCACGTGAGATGGGTCTCCTGAATGCAATACACCAATGGGTCTCAACTCTGTATCCAATTTGCCAGTCTATGCCTTTTAATTGGGGCATTTAGCCCATTTACACTGTGTTAATTTGAACCTTCTATTTTGATGCTAACTAGTTGCTTTGCCCATTAGTTGATGCAGTTTCTTCATAGTGTCGATGATCTTTATAATTTGGTATGTTTTTGCTGTGGCTGGTACTGGTTGTTCCTTTCCATGTTTAGTGCTTTCTTCAGGAACTCTTATAAGGTAGGTCTGGTGGTGTCACCATTTGCTTCTCTGTAAAGGATTTTATGTCTCCTTCATTTATGAAGCTTAGTTTGGCTGGATATGAAATTCTGGGTTGAAAACCTTTTTTTAAAGAATGTTGAATATTGGCCCCCACTTTCATCTGGCTTGTAGGGTTTCTGCCAAGAGATCCATTGTGAGTCTGATGGGCTTGCTTCCCTTTATGAGTAACCCAATCTTTCTTCTGGCTGTCCTTAGCATTTTTTCCTTCATTTCAACCCTGGTGAATCTAACAATTATGTGTCTTGGGGGTTGCTCTTCTCGAGGAGTATCTTTGTGGTGTTCTCCATATTTCCTGAATTTCAATGTTAGCCTGCCTTGCTAGGTTGGGGAAGTTCTCCTGCATAATATCCTGAAGAGTGTTTTCCACCTTAGTTTCATTCTCCCTGTCACTTTCAGGTACACCAATCAAATGCAGATTTGGTGTTTTCACATAATCCCATATTTCTTGGAGGCTTTATTTCTTTTCACTGTTTTTTTCTCTAATCTTGCCTTCTCACTATATTTCATTGAGTTGATCTTCAATCTCTGATATTGTTTATTCTGCTTAATCGATTCTGCTACTGAAACTTGTATATGCTTCACAAAGTTCTCATGCTGTGTTTTTTGGCTCCATCAAATCGTTTATGCTCTTCTCTAAGCTGGTTATTCTAGTTAGCATTTTGTCTAACCTTTTTTCAAGGTTCTTAGCTTCCTTGCATTGGATTAGAACATGCTCCTTTAGCTCAGAGAAGTTTGTTTTTACCCAACTTCTGAAGCCTGCTTCTGTCAATTCGTCAAACTCATTCTCCATCCAGTTTTGTTTCTTTGCTGGTGAGGAGTTGTGATCCCTTGGAGGAAAAGAGGCATTCTGGCTTTTGGAGTTCTGAGCCTTTTTGTGCTGGTTTCTTCCTATCTTCATGGATTTATCAACCTTGGTCTTTGAAGTTGGTGACCTTTGGATAGAGTCTCTGAGTAAATGTCCTTTCTGTTGATGTTGAAACTATTTCTTTCTGTTTGTTAGTTTTCCTTCTAACAGGCCCCTCTGCTGCAGGTCTGGTGGAATTTGCTGGAGGTCCACTCCAGACCCTGTTTGCCTGGGAATGACCCACAGGGCTGGAGAACAGCAGATATTGTTGCCTGTTCCTTCCTTTGGTAGCCTTCATCCTAGAAGAGTACCCACCATATGCAACCAGAGCTCTCCTGTATGAGGTGTCTGTCAGCACCTGCTGGGAGGTGTCTCCCAGTCAAGATACACGGGGTTAGGGAGACACTTGAGGAGGCAGTCCATCCCTTACCAGAGCTCGAGCGCTGTGCTGGGAGATTCATTGCTCCCTTCAGAGCTACCAGGCAGGGATGCTTAAGTCTGCTGAAGCTGAACCCACAACTGCCCCTTTTCCCAGGTGCTCTGTCCCAGGAATATGAGGGCTTTATTTGTAAGTCCCTGATGGGCTACTGCCTTTTTTCAGAGATGTCCTGCCCTGTGAGGAGGGAGTCTAGTGACACAGTCTGCCTGCATTGGCCTTGCTGAATTGCCATGGGCTCCACCCAATCACTGTGTACACTTCTTGGTGACTTTGTTTACACAGGTGAGGTTAAAACTGCCTACCTGAGCCTCAGCAATGGTGGATGCCCCTTCACCCACTGAGCTAGAACATCCCAGGTCAATCTTAGATTGTGTGCTGGCTGCAAGAATTTCAAGCCAGTGGATCTTAGCTTGCTGGTCTTCGTCGGGGTGGGACCTGCCAAGCCAGATCACTTGGCTTCCTGGCTTCAGCCCCCCTTTTCAGGGAAATGAGCAGTTCTGTTTTGCTGGCATTTGCTGTGGCTAGCTCAGTGTATTCCCAAATGGCTGCCCAGTTTTATGCTGGCAACCTGGGGTGCTGGTGTTAGAGGCACCAGAGGGAATCTCCTGGTCTGCGGGTTGTGAAGACCATGGGAAAAGCACAGTATCTGAGCCAGAGTGCCAGATGCTGGGAAAAGTCCCTAATGGCTTCCCTTGGCTAGAAGAGGGAGTTTCCCGGCCCCTTGCACCTCCCAGGTGAGGCGATGCCCCACCCTGCTTCATCTTGCCCTCCCTGGGCTACACCCACTGTCTAATCAGTCCCAATGAGATGAACCAGGTACCTCAGTTGGAAATGCAGAGATCACCTGCCTTGTGATCGCTCTTGCTGGGAGCTGCACACTGGAGCTGTTCCTATTCAGCCATCTTGCCAGAATCTCAACTTCAGTAAGTACAAGATTGCTAAAGTCACTATAGTGAAGAAGTCTCTGGGGGTCCTATCACAAATGCCTGTTGCATTAGCAATTTAGACAAATTCTACAGTCTTTTGTTGCAGGTGGCCTCATCCTAGATGGACCAATTTACAAATGACAGAATGAATAAACTTAAATAAAATTTGTATGTGAGGAATACATTACCTCCAGGATCCAAAAATATCTAAATGATATTAGGCTTGTTTTTAAAATGTGGGTGCTGAGACTATAAGCTTTTCTTGACAATGTTGGATTGGAGCAGCCCTCAGATTACCAAATAATTTTCAGAAATTTAACTGAGGTATTGTGGCTATGTACTATGGGTGGGGGCAATGGATGATTTTCTTTTTGTGATCTTTTTTGCTAATGTTTATGTCCTTAATAAGTGTGTCATAGGAAACTCCTCAGGAGAGGTTGTCATCAGTGTAATGTCATACCTGAGCATCCTGGAAAATCTAGATATAGTTAATATTCTACCTGTGAAGATTATATGAGATGACAGGAGTGGAAAGGTACCACACAAGGTGCCCTGGTAGAGGTCTACTATGTCTTTTTGAAGGTGAAGGTAAGTACATTTCAGGTGAGAGGCTGTTTAAACAGGAACTGTACAGAACATTTAGCCAAATACTTTGCTATTACTGCAAACTATTTACCAGTTACTTATTGGATGGAGTTAGTAATTTGAATAATATTAGGTATGGAGACCTGATGAGGGGACCATGGCATTAAGGTTACAGTAATCTACACTGAGGCACCATTTTATTTTTTCCAGATTAAGAACAATCCAAATTTGGCTGTTAAATCCATAAGCAGTGAGGATAATCATCTATATAGGTCTAATTATCTAAATAGGTCTTATATAATGGGTTTCAATTATTGAAGATTTAATTTTAATTTAGATTGAGCTTTTTTATAAAACTGAGGAAGATGTTAATTATTAACTTATTTTAACTGGGGGAAGCAGTCCATAGGGTCTCATTTTTCAAGCTGATTACAAGTACCAAAGAATTACTTTTAATTTATTACTCATTAGGTCAGATTGTCCATACTCAGTAGGGGATATTTTGAAAGAATTAGTGCTATGGATATGGGGATTTTAGGCAAGGCAATAATTCTAATAGTTGAGACTAGGCATATCTGTTCATTTCCATTTCAAATTTAGTAACTCTCCAGCTGCTTTTAACAGCTTGCCCAGATGTGGGGTAGGAGAAGGGAATGAGATAAAGCTTAAAATCTGTCAGCAGACAAACATCAAAAATGGAATCAAACTCATTATTGCATACTACTACCCCACACACATCACAGCTCTCCCAATCTACACCCTCATCCCCACCCTCCCACACACAAAAAAACATCAATTCCTTTTCCTCTTTTACTGTGTGATATAGTATTAAGCAGGAAATTTGCCTTCGGTGCTCATTCCTTATCTAGTCCTTAATCCTAATGTCTGGCTAACTGTGGCTGCCAGCCTGTCTCACAACCTGGAAGGTTCTCAACTCCCTCCCTCCTCATACACATGCTCTTCCCCTTCTTTCTCCCCTCCCCATTATTAGAAAACACTACTATTAGAGACACACAGACCTTTTCAAAATCTTTTGATTGAATTTTAATCACAAACATCCAAGAATCTTGGTGCGATATTTAATTTCTCTGCACAAGACACCCTTTCTAGAGGTTAATTCAGAGATGAGACAGATAGTTACAGGTCTTGTGCTTCTGGTGGTCCCTGGACGTTACTTGAGGTAGGCAATTCACTGGCTCTCTTCATCCTCATTTGATTGATTTCCATTCTTTTTTTATAATTTCTGTGATGGAAAACTAATATTGTTGATTTTTTTCCTGCTTTACGTCTTTCTGAATTCTGCTGAATGAATGATTTTATGCTTTTCTCTATTTTCAACTCCTGGAAGGAAGAAAAACAAGGTGCACCAACAGAGCCATTAATCTGGGGAAGTGGATGGGGAATGTGTGGTAAGGGAGATTTTCATGAAGATGAATGCAGGTTGAGAAAACGTTTTATGCCAGATAAGGACAAGGTAGGAATCTTGGGTTAGGTATCAATGGGGAGGAAGAGTCACATAATTAGGGATATCTGACCTCATCAGTTTCACTTTCGTTAGCTTCAGAAGAAAGTCTCTTCTTCCCTTTCATGCTGGGAGTTTCTTGGCTTCTGCCTGTGGATGGTTCAGGCATGTCTGAACTATCCTCTTCTGTTTCTTCAGTAGTCTCTGCCATCCTAGAGAAAAAGGAGCCTACAGCTTCTTTTACTTCTTTAGTAACCTTTGCTATCCTAGAGAAAATGGAGTCTATTTCCAGTTGTAGTTTTTCAGTAACTTCTGCCATCTTAGAGCAACAGTGATGTTCTCCCTGTTCAGGTTCTTCAGTAACCTCTGCCATCGTAGAGCAACAGGGGACTTCTCCCTCTGTTAGTTCTTCAGTAACCTCTGCCATCCTAGAGCAGGAGTAGCCTACTCCAGGCCTCCTGATCTCTCTATATCCTTCTCAGAACAATGACATGCCACATTCTTCAGCTTTGATTGGCCAGCAAGAAACTCCTCTGACAATGGTAGCCCTGGGATGTCTTAGACATCACAAAGCACCACTCTTGAAAATTCCATGGGGGGAGGGAAAGGGTACAGAGAAGTATAAAGGCTCTGGTTAGAGAAAAAGGAGAGCTTCCTCAACACCACGAATGGTCATTCTAAAGTGACCTCTCATCCTTCTTCATCTTGTCTAGTTTAATTGTGGTATGGCATATGGCTGAGAAGGGTGTTTTGGCCAGGCATGGTGGCTCACACCTGTAATCCCAGCACTTCAGGAGGCTGAAGCAGGTGGATTGCAAGGTCAGGAGTTCAAGAACCAGCCTGGCCAACACGAGGAAACCCACGATCGATCTCAGCTCAATGTAACCTCCAACTTCCAGGTTCAAGCAATTCTCCTGCCTCAGCCTCCCTAGTAACTGGGATTACAAGTGCCTGCCACCACACCTGGCTCATTTTTGTATATTTCATAGAGATGCAGTTTTGTCATGTTGGCCAGGCTGGTCTCTAACTCTAGACCTCAGGCGATCCACCTGCCTCGGCCTCCCAACGTGCCGGGATGACAGGCATAAGCCACCATGTCTGGCCCGAGTTGCATTCTTGAGTCTAGTTTTAGTTATATCTTTTATTGGAATTGAGACACATGATTCAATCTGAATTCACAGATCCAAGCTGAAACACAAGATTCCTGGCTGCTTTAAGAAGGGCTCCAACCCAATATTCTTTTCAGTTAATGTCAATTAGTTAAACTGCTGACTTATCTTGTTGAAATCTTTAGCATAGGTTTGGTAGGACTCTACCAATGCGGCACAAAGAAGTACGGTTTGAAGTAAAAGCTAGGCAGCAGGCAGTAGCTCAAACTACATGTCATCGGCAGGTAGCAGTGCCAGTTAGAAAGTAAAAGAAAAAAAGACCCTTGGTGGTAGTGAACAGTGCCTAGATATCCTATTCACAGATTCAATTGTGCAATCACCCTACAAAGGCAGGATGGATTCTACACTAAAAATTTGGTTTGGATATCAAATCTGATGATACATGCACCGAAAGGAAATGGAAAAGTTTATTACTCACATAATGAGGCATTCTGGGGAGATCAGGGCAGGTTTCCAAGCAAGTACAAAAATGCTTGAGAGAACAAAGAGAAAAAAAACTGGCTTGGCTTTTATGATGGTTAGGGGGTAAAGCTATGAATATCCCAAACACAGACCAGGGCTTGCAAGGTTTGAACTTCACACTAGCCCTAAAGAAGGAATCACCTGGGCTTTCTTATCAGATATAGGTAAGCAGAAGAGAAAGTGGTGGGTCTTGGAAGTTGTTAGTAGTCAAATGTAAAACATGGAGTCTGATTCTGCTACAGAGCTATTTTACAGAAGTGTTGTATAAATGCAAAATGTTCTAGCATAATTTAGAATTTTCACAACCACTGTAACCAAGCATCTCATATTGTTTTTGGTTTAAACTGCATTTCATTACATTAGCATAACCAAATTATGGTCCTTTAAATACTCTTTAAGATGGCTTAAGATTATCTTGGTTTATCAACAGAGAAACAGTGCAGGAAGATGAAACTGTTACCATTAGCCAGTCTGCTACTCTGTCTACAGGAATCCAGACCTAATTTCAGTATCTGATGCATTATGTGAGGGTTCTTACCTTCTTCCCATCTCAGATGATTACTGGACAATTCAAAGACCATGATAATAATTTAAAAAGCCAACATTTAATGATCACTAAATATATGCTGAAATTATGCTAAATAACCTGACACTGGGTCAGTTATAAAAATAAGAAATTTCTTTCTCACAATTCCAGATGTTGAGAAGTCCAAGATCAAGGTGCCAGCAGATTTGGTTGTCTGGTAAGGGCTTGCTTTCTGCTTCCAAGATGGTACATTTTTACTGCATCCTCTGGTGGGGAGGAACACTGTGTCTTCACATGGAAGGAGGCAGAAGGAAAAGCCAGTCTAAAGTTGTATAATGCCTCTGTTTAAGGGCCCTAATCCTATTCATGAGCAAGGAGCTCTCACGCCCTAATCACCTCTTAATACTATCACATTGGCAACACCTGATTTTTGGAGGAAACACATTTAAACCATAGTTATAACCACATCCATATTCAATGCTTGTCACAACCCTATGGAGGTAATTTGCAAAATAGCACTTTTTGCCACCTCCATTCCAATTGTGGAAGCAGAAATGATCATGGAGGAGAGCACATGGGAATATTTATAGGCCAGGTTGAAAGGAACATGTATCACTCCCAGTAACATTTCATTGGCAAGAGCTCCCAAAGCCACATTTAACTGCAAGAGAGAAGAATAAATGGAATCTACCAAGAAGAAGAGGATAATTTGAATGTTGGTGATCAGCTAGCAATCTGCTCCAACTGTCCCATCGTCACTTTATTCCTAGTGATAGAGTAGGTACTGATATGTAGTAAGTGGTCACAAATATATCTGTTGAGTGAATGGGTTTGACTTTTTTGGTCAGAATTACACATAGAAACATAGAACTAGGTAAGAAACATAAAGAACTTGGTTAAGTAATACAGAGATTAAATTGGACTATATCAAATTTTAAAATCTGCTGCAAAAAAATTCACCAAGAAAATGGAAAAGCAACCAGAAGAAAAGGAGAAACATTATTTGCAAATCATGTAATTTGTAAAGATCTAGTATGCAGAATACATAAAAGACTCTTACAATTCAACAACAAAAAGATAAAACACCCAATTAAAAGTTAGGTAAAAAACTTAAGCTGACATTTATGTAAGGAAGATGTATAAATAACCAACGAATACTGAAAAGATGCTTAGCATCATCAGCCATTAGGGAAAATGCAAATCAAAACCACAATCAGATACCACTTCACACCTACTAAGATAATTATATAAATAATTTGTAGATAAAAAATAACAAGTGTTGATGAGGATGTGGATAAACTGGAACCATCATACACCTCTGGAGGAAATGTAAAATGGTGCAGCCTCCGTGTAAAACAGTTTGGCAATTCCACAAAAAGTTAAACATAAACATACCATATAACCCAACATAATACTCCTAGGTATATAACCAAAATAACTGAAAACAGAAGAAAACAGTTGAGTGGAGCATTACAACAGCCAAGGGCAAATAATGTTTTAAGAAGAAAAAATAGTCAGCTTCATTAAATACTTTTCACAGCTAACATGGGGAACCACAAATCACCATTGAATTTGATAGTATGGAAGTTATTGGTAACCTTGAAAAAAAGGAGAATAAAAGAATGGAAAATATTTAGTGTAAACCCCAATGATGTATATTAAGAACATAATATGAGGTGAGGAAGTGAGAGGTTTGATGCTAAGAAAAGGAAATACATGGGACGATAGTTGGAGATTTGGTGTTATGAGAGTGTATTTTTTTTTTAATTTTTTATTGGATTATAGGTTTTGGGGTACATGAGCAGAGCATGCAAGACAGTTGCGTAGTTACACACATGGCAGTGTGCTTTGCTTTTCTTCTCCCCTTCACCCACATTTGGCATTTCTCCCCAGGCTATCCCTCCCTACCTCCCCCTCCCACTGGCCCTCCCCTTTTCCCCCCAATAGACCCCACTGTTTAGTACGCCCCTTTCTGTGTCCATGTGTTCTCATTTTTCATCACCCACCTATGAGTGAGAATATGCGGTGTTTCATTTTCTGTTCTTGTGTCAGTTTGCTGAGGATGATGTTTTCCAGATTCATCCATGTCCCTACAAACGACACAAACTCATCATTTCTGATTGCTGCATAATATTCCATGGTGTATATGTGCCACATTTTTCCAATCCAGTCTATTATCAATGGGCATTTGGGTTGATTCCAGGTCTTTGCTATTGTAAACAGTGCTGCAATGAACATTCGTGAGAGTGTATTTTTAAGAGGATAGATTTAGAGCATACCTGTGTGCTGGTATGAATGATTAAGTGAAATTGATGATTGTAAAGAGCAAGAGGATAACAGCAGAAGAAACAAAAACATCGATAAAGCAAGAGGAGTATCAGAGCACTCATAGATGGGATCTATACTAAAAGTAGAAGATCTGACCTTACCTGAGAACAGGTTATGTTAGTATATTGTACAGAAGCAAAGGAAATGATTATGGTATGGGTACGAATGCAGGTAAGACAGTGAATTTGGTGATAAAGATATAAGGGAATTCTCATTGATTCTTCTATTCTCTCAGTGAAGGAAGAGGAAAGGTCATAAAATGACAGGTATGAGAGGGAGGGTTTCTGAGGAAATGAGAAGAGGATAAGGTGTTGAATAGTTGGTTTTAATAGTAGAAAAGGACACATACCAGAAAGATTGCTCATTTGAGATATGCAGTCAAGAATTTCAGGTGACATCAGACAGTCTACTCCTGAAAATTTCTATACTTCAAATGAGCTCTGAATTTTGAAGAAGAAACAGAAATGATTTATAAGTGACAAAAAGGAGCAAAGTAGCCACTTACCCCACATATAGTCTCTAGGGTAGGTGAGAGAAACAGGTGTTCACATGAAAGAACTGCAGAGGAAATTATTCCCTCAGAACACAGCTTTTTCCAGTTATAACAAGAGGAAGGGAAGAGTTTGAAGCTACTGGGGAGTTTCTTAATGACAGACTATGAGTTACAGAGGGCAGAAAAGAAGGGCTAATGATGACGAAGAAAGAGCTGGGTTTAATTTTGTTATGTGTATAACAGTATGTAGATAAGTGACCAGGCAATGATGAATAATCTGCAGGCTGGTGACTTAAAAGTGATGAGACAAGATGGAATTAATCCTGATGGTCTCAGAAGAAAGTCACTAATCAGAAGCTAAGGTCCAGAGTATTGGGAATATGAGAGATAATTGAGACTGTTCTTTTCTGTGCCTTGTATGACAATCTGGGAAGTGAGTAAAAACCTCCTGACTGTTGACTGCTCAATTAAGATTGACCCAGAGCTCAGAAAATCCAAAAACACCAATAAAATCTTTCTCTAAATACTATGTATTCTGCTTTCTGACCCAGCCTTCCAAAGACAAACTATTGAAAACATTTAAGAGGGAAGATTTCAAAGGAGAGGAGTGTGTATGTTCAGGAGTGTGGGTGGGAATAAAAAAAAAAAAACAGCAGTGGGTTGCTATTATAGGCATATGAAGATCTGCACTATTCTTGAACAACCTAATGTGCCTGTACATGCAGGGCCCAGATACAGACACCAACACTTACTGGGAACCTGCAGACCCAAAGCAGGGGATGCAGGGAGGCTTAAGAGAAGCGTATTAGCTCAATGTAAGAGTATATTTACTTGGGCCTTCTAAATGGCAGATGGGAGAAGAATGAAAGAAAGGTAAGTGAGGTCTTTTATCTAGTTTCTCTCCTCAGGAAGAAGCACTTGAAGTTGTATTTCCTACATAAATTCACCTGTTAAAACTCCAGGGAGCTCATCAGTGGGCAGATGTTCTCACATAAGTATAGTTACTACCAAACATTTAATCAAAATCATGACTGCATCTGGCTCGCATTAAAAGGTTTATCTTTGTTATTGTCTTTTAAAAGAACAGTTCCCCATGCTTATAAATCCTGACTCAGAACATGAATTCAACCTGCCTCAGGTGCTTTGTGGTTATACCTTCCTGCTAGGAATCAGCACAGTCTCCAGAGAATAAATTTTGGAGAGTATTGTCAAAGTGTTGTTTTTGTGTGTTTTTCAATGTGTATCTACTGGAATTTCTAGGAGTGAAGCACAGCCAGGGCAATGCAATCCTAAGATTTAAATGTTTTTGGTCAAATGCTCACAATGTATGTGAGCACGATGGCAGGAGAAGGAAAACATTCATTGAATCCCCAATAGAGATATGAGCTCAAACCCTGGAATCCCTTAGTCACACTTTGAGTTAAGTGCTCACCCACTCAGCCTATGTTTTCATTTCTAAAAAAATAAAAAGAGCTGGAGATGAGTGGATTATTCCATATGAGGCTATTGTAAAGATTAAGTGATACATGAAAAGTCTGTAGCACCACAATCCAGAGATGGGAGAAAATAATTGCAAATCATATTCCTGATAAGGGATTTTTATCCAAAATATATAATGTAAATGTAGAATTCAATGAAGAAAAGACAAGTAACCCAGTTTAAAGTGGTCAAAGGATATGAACAGACATTTTGCCCAAGAAAGATATGCAAACAGCTAACAAGCACATTAGAAAATGCTTGACATAATCAATCATCAAGAACTTGCAAATCAAAACCACAAAGATATAACTTCACACTCAGGAGGATAACTAGAATCCAAAAGTCAGATATTCACAAGAGTTGATGAGGACAGAGAAATATAGCCCGCATACAGCGATAATGGGAGTGTAAAATGGTGCAGCTGCTGTAGAAAATAGTTCAGAAGTTCCTAAAAATGTTAAACATAAAATTAACATATAGCCCAGAGATTCCTAGGAAATTAACATATAGCCCAGAGATTCCTCCCTCAGGTATATATCCAAGAAACTGAAAATATGTTCACACAAAAACTTTTACATAAATTTACCTTGCAACAATATTCACAATAGCCAAAACGTGAAAACAACCCAAATGCTCATCAACTGATGAAAGGATAAACAAAGTTTGATAATCCATGTAACAGAATATTATTCAGCCATCAAAAGGGCTGAAGTACTAGTACATACTACAACACACATGGGCCTTGAAAACATTATCTTAAGTGAAATAAGCCAGACACACAAGACCACATATTATATGATTTCATTTATATTAAATAACCAGAACAAAAAATCTATAAACAAAAAGTACTAGAAGAGTTGCTTAGGGCTGGGGGTGGGAGTTGGTGGCATAGGGGGATGATAGGTAAAGGGTACAGGCTTTCTTTATGAAGTGATAAAAATGTTCTAAAATTGACTGTTCAGAGATATGATTGCACATGTCTGAAATACTAACAAACATTTAATTATACATTTCAAATGTATAAATCATATGGTACATTGATTATATCGCAATAAAGCTGTTTTAAAAGCCTGTGTGCTAGCAAGGGATAGCGGAGCAGAGTTTCAGTAACTCAAGAAAGAAAAAGTGTGTAGCACAGCACCCAGAACACAATAAATGCTAATTAAATAGCACCCATTATTATTTTACCACCATTTACAATATTCCTCAGACCAATTCAGTTTGTCTGTTTCAAAATCAATCCATAGCAAATGACTAGATTGGTAGTAAGAAATTAAATGTGACCAAGAGATGATTATTATTGAGAAAATGATCTTTGGAGCCAGACAATTATGGATCTACCATCACTAACATATGAGCATATTAATTTCCCAGTTTCCTCATCTATAAGATGGAGATAATAATAGTGCCTGCCTCATATAATTATTACTTGAAGTAAACAAAATAAGATTTGTGCTGAGGACAATACAGTGATTGGCAGTCAGCAAAAATTACTTTCCCCTATTTAGAGCCAACATCTGGCATATTCAAATGCCCACAAAAGATCTTTCCAATGTTTATATGTTAATAATTTTATTTTAAATATAAAACATTTCCTGGAAATTGCTTCTAGTAATAATGTTTTGCTGCTTAAACATTGTCAGCTGCCAAAATGTGAAGGATTCCAAGAGGCTGCATTTTT